TAACCACTACGCTACCAGAGCTCCTTAGGTACATCAATAGGAGGGATCAATTGCTAGAGGAGGATATCATCATGCTTGGTGAAGTAGAGGGCCAGAGAGGTGATTTGTAACTCTAAAAATATTATTCTCCAAGATTTTAAAATATAACCCAGCTGCTCTACAGAAACCCTAAGTCTCTAGAGACATGGAAGAGACCATCTTCCTGACATTCTTGCTATACTTCTTCCAACACAGATTGATTTGCTCCTCTAGCAGTCCATGGTACTTTTTATATTCTTTTCCGGCACAACAATATTCCATATAATGGATTCTATTTATGAACACTGGAAGTTAGGGGACCTAACATTAGGAACCCTTATTCTAGAGGATAAAAAATATTGACTGGCCCTTGGACTTCTGTGGTCAGAGGCACGAAGTGGGTAGAGAAGCAGAAGCAGGCATCTACAATGAGTTACTCTATCAAGTACAGTCATACTCTTGTCAGTTCTTATTTTGCCACAGGAACTACCAAGTCCCTGCATGGAGAGAAGAGAAGTGAATTTGTGAAATGAACTCCTAAGATGCAGATTATACAGTCTAAGAAAACAGAGTGTAAGTATGTTCATTCTCCTGGAATTATTATAACTGCTTTCCCAAAATGAATTGGAAAGACTCCAGAAACCATATTGAAAAATCCTGTTAAGTGCAAATTAAGTAATATGCTTTAAAATAAAATGCTTGTAAAATAATTTTCAGTCTATGTGATAATACATACTCAAAAGTAACATAATGTTGAGGAACAAACAAGATGGCGGATCGGGTGGATATGTAGCAGAGAGCTCCGCCAACAACAACACAGAATACCCGATCAAGCAGGCTCAGGGGATGGTCCCAGAACTCTAAACCACATATAAAGGAATACTTGGAAGGTTGGAAGGCTCACAGCTGGGGGAATGTGTGGCAGAAGCAAGAAATCTATTGTTTTCTAGTCCAGGATGCTTGGCTGCTCCAGAAGCCGCCATCTTGGGTGAGACCACGTGGGGGAAGGATCGGAGCAGCCACAGACGCCTGGCAGAACCACTGAGATAAAAGTGTGGACATTCTTTTCTTTTGGTATCTGTTCATTGGTCCCTCGCTGTCTGCGCACCTCCATTCTGGTGACTGTAGGGGTGCCTGAGTGAGTGGGCACCCCAGCCCCACCCTCGGAGCGTTCTACTATGCATACGCACAGATCTCCTCGAAATTTAAAGAGACAGTTTCCAATTAAAACCAAACAGCCACAGCCGGCCCTGAACTGTTTCCAACTAGAGAAATGGCCTGAATGGGGATTGAGGAGTGGGACAAGCAGACAAAAGAGGAAATAGGCC